GTATGAATAGCAGAGTGTATTTTATCTTCTTGAAACGGATGTTCGAGATACATAACTGAACTGTGGAAACCCATGGTTTTTTCCTCTTGTGTTCATTTTCAAAATTTCAGAGTTCTGTGTAGGTTTATCGTACTGAGTCATACAATTCAGTATATTTTACAGATATTTGTCTTCTTAATGCCATGTGCCTTCCCTGAGTGAGGTCATCTTCTCGTACTCCAAGTGTATTTATCCAGATAGGTCTTCTCAGTCCCCTGCATGTATCAAATTTGATGTTTCTCAAACTGAAGACACTGTCCTTCCCTCTTTCCTGACTCTTTGTGAGCTACTCTATCGTCTGTATTCCCCATCCTCGTTCATAACATTCACCAATTGAAGTGAGACACAGAAGGTTGAGAAATCCTGGACTCTAGGCCTATCCTCCCATCACCAGTGCAGTCACTCAGCACGTTCTGTAGTGTCAGCCTTCTTTTCAGTTTTCATATCATAAGACCACAGCTCACTTTCTTGGCTACAGTTTTAAAGCACACTTTTCTAGTTTCCCGCCCCACACTTCCTTTCATCTGTCTTTACACTGGTGCCAGGATGTCCCTGGTAAAATATGTTCGTGATGATGTAACTCACCAGCTTACTGAGAGGGTCCCCATGACACGAGGGGACGTTCACATGTGACCACGACACGTGTCTGTTCCGGTTTGGCTCTGACGTCCCGTGTGTCTGTCCACCCCGTTCCCGGTAACCGTGTTACAGCGTTGCCACATTGCTTTGGTGCCCTCATTTGCCACGTTGTTTCATGCCTCATCCTTTTCCTCCTGCTGCCCTGGCTAGTATGCCCTTCACACCCTTCGTCTGCAATTTGTTTCACAAAACACAGCCCTGTGTTTGCAGCGGGACCTGAGCTTCCCAAGAATGCCAGAGTCTTCTTCCTCACGCTGTCCTGTAGTTTATTCACTTAGAGAAGTAGAGAGTTACATTTTTTCTTCTTCATTTTGGTACATCTCTACCCCATGAAAATATAGGGCAGAATTTGTCTTCTCTGTATATTTCCGTCTTCTCTCTGTGTCGCACTTACAATTTCATGGTCAAAATAAATGATTGTTGCCTTACTGACTGACTGAGTGGGTGTGAGTGCATAAATAGAATGTTTTCTGAAGTTGTTCCTTTTTTTTTTTTCTTCCCATTAGGAAAAAGCAACAAAGCCATCAGTTGGAACAAAGGAAAATGGTATTGATATTTTTGAAAGTGCTCCATGTGAGCAAATCGATAATGACAATATGACTTCTGTTGCTGGAGTGTAGAAAGAGAATAGTAGGAGGACGTTAGTACATATCTGTGAAAGTGTCTCTGTGCTGTACTGTGAATATAAGATAATCTACTGAAAGTGTATAGAGCCCAATATGAGAACCAGTTGTCTTGATGTTTTGCTATCTTTCTTCATACCCCCAAGTTGATCCTGAAACTGCTTCAGCATTTGAAATTTTTTTTTTTTCCTTTTTGTCTTTTTTCATGACCGGCAACGGATCGCACCCCTCAGTGTCGCGCCCGTACCGGCCTGGGACCGGCAAAGGGATCGCAACCCTCAGTGTTGCTCCCCGCACCTCGCTCAGCCAGTGAGCGGGAACCGGTCTGTTTGTGGGATCCGAAACCTCGGCGGGAGCGCCGCCACATTTCCCAAGCTGCGCACTGTAGCAGTGCGCCACCGGGCCGGCCCCCAGCATCTGAAATTCTTGCTTGCTATTGTTTTTCTGTTATTGAAGTATTTATGAGTGGAGGTAAACGTGTATATTTATTTAAAAATCACAGTAATCAATGTTCTCAGTCAAATATCTCTGACTGCACTTACAGATATGAAGTCTGCATTACGATTAGGACCAGAGAAAGAGGAAGCATCATCTTGGGATTCTGAGGTACTGTCGATTGTTGTTGTTGCTATTTTAAAATACAGACATTGAGTGATGTTAAAAGCAGAGGAGATATTTGGACTTTACTTTCTCACATCTTCATGTACCCATGAAGAATTCCACATCTTCATGTGTCCATGAAGAATTCTTTCCCTGCATTTGTCAATCTATGGGCCAAAGTTATACATAGTACGGTTCTGCCAATTTGCAGGATGAATTTAATGAAGCCAAGATACTACCATGTAGAAAACTAATGCTTCAAAGTCCCAAGGAATGAATTTCGATTCTGAATTGAAGTTTATCTAAAACCTCCAGAATTATTCCAGGTCAAACTTCTTCAAAANATCTGAAATTCTTGCTTGCTATTGTTTTTCTGTTATTGAAGTAGTTATGAGTGGAGGTAAAGGTGTATATTTATGTAAAAATCACAGTAATCAATGTTCTCAGTAAAATATCTCTGACTGCACTTTACAGATATGAAGTCTGCATTACGATTAGGACCAGAGAAAGATGAAGAATCACCTTGGGATTCTGAGGTACTGTCGATTGTTGTTGTTGCTATTTTAAAATACAGACATTGAG